TTTCGGCACAAGTGAATGAAGAGGGACACAGCTTCCACTGGAACAAGGTAGAGCTCTTGACCGAAGGAGAAACACAAATGGGAGGGAGATTCTCGAAGCCTGGTTCTCAACCACGAACTCAATCAACATGCATTTCGACATAGATCCAATATACCAACCGCTGAGAAAGAGAGCGCTCAAGAGGATTAAAAAGCTTTGTTTGAAAAAACATAATCTAACACCCAGATAACGAACAGAATGGTCGATGTGAATCCAGACTGCTCACCTTCACCCGTTGCACAAATCCGTGGGGGACGTTCCTAACCACGTCACAACCACATGCGCGCCGGCAATGGAACAATGGTTTATTACGGGTAAAAAAGCATTGCTTAACAAGCCCCGTGGGATGGAAATTATTACGCAAATCAATTGCACGATAAGGTGGAAAGCATTGTGGTGGAGTTAACATGGACGTATGTAGGATAGCGGAGATGTTTGCGTATTAAAGCTATAAATCCATACATCCATTGGTTAGGCGTTTGGCAAGACACCGTTCGATTGCGTTTTGTAGCCCCGGGCTAACAAGTCAGAAAATGAAATGCAAATCAGACAAGGCATCGTCAACACGTATGTTTTAATATCGCCAAATCGGGAGCAGAGATGATATAATTAGGGAGGGCGTTCCAAGGCTGACGCACGCGGAGGGAAAAGAAATTTCTACTACATTCAAGCTGGCTATACTGAATTGTCAGTTTCAGAGGGTGACATCTTAGGTTAGTGTTGTGGTTCAATTTCAGCAGCGAACGACAGACGTGGTTTGGATTCTTCAGAATTTTGTAAACCATTGTGAGATCCCAACCCAAGAGCCGACATCGACTGCTGTAGATTCTTAGAGATTTCAGTCTAAGCTGATAGCGCAGATGAAAGAGACCCCTGACGTTATCGGTTGCCCTTACTTGAGAAGTCTCGAGAGCAACGAGATCCTGTTTCTGCCACGGCTGCCACACCTGAATAGCATATTCCACGTGCGGTCGCACGTAGGCGTTAAGCATTTGGGGAAATATTGATGGTTCAAACCGACCGAAGGCTCTGCGAAGAAGGCCGAAGTGTTGATTTCCGGTTCTCCTCGCCTTCTCTGCTTGTTTGGAACACCCGAGAACTTCCTGCATCAATACACCCAAGTCACGCTCCTGAGAAACGTTCGCCAAGATGTAGTCTCCAATCTTGTAAGCGCTCACCGGCTGGTGACGTAGATGCATCACTTTGCACTTAGCTATGTTCAATTGAAGCTTGTTCCTCTTTGACCATTCGTAAATGCGATCTAAGTCATGTTGGAGCAGATCGTGATCTGGCTTGTTACTAGTCGCCTGCCATATCTTGACATCATCGGCCAAAAGCAAGAAATTTGAGGAGATGACCCTTGCCAGGTCTTTGATAAACATCAGGAATAAGCGCGATCCCAGCACTGAGCCATGTGGGACACCACATTCCACCTCACTTGGGTTAGAGAGTGATCCCCTAATACGCACTTGAAGCTTTCGTTGGTAAAGGAAGTTGCCAATCCAACCAAGTACTGGATCTCCGATTCCGTAACTCTGTAGTCTTTGAAGTAGGATGCGGTGATCAAGGCGGTCGAAAGCTTTGGGGAAGTCCAGATAGATGACGTCCACTCCGACCCATCATCAGCCACTTTCGTCCATCTAACTGGTGCAATAAGTAGGTTGGTGGTGCATGAAAGGTGTTGACGGAAGCCATGCTGTTCCGGTACCAAGATGTTACATTTTTCCAGGTAGTCCATTAAAGCCTCAGCGACGACTGCTTCCATCACCTTCGCGAGCACAGGGAGGAGAGTCACTGGACGATAGTTTGCAGGATTTGAATGGCTACCGCCTTTAAAAATAGGGGTGATAATGCCACACTTCCACATAGTGGGGACTTGTTGTTCATCAAAGCACCTTTGGAAGAACTGTGACAGTGGTTCAGCTAACTTGTTGGCCACAGCCTCCAGTGCATTCGGGCGGATGTTGTCTGCTCCCGGAGAACAATGCTCAAGCAGTAAACGTAACTTCGTTAGCACGATTGACGGGTTGAAAATTACATGTGTAAACTATGGAGTCGGTAATGTGCATGATATTATGGGACAGGTCGAGTTTGCGAGTTCGAAAGTTGGGGCGCGTTGCAGCCACAGGGCATTAGCTGCTTCTTCGGCGCTTTGTACTCTACCGCCTGTCGTGAATAGTGGGGTATTCCATGCTTCACTTTACAAAGCTTATTGACATGCTTATGCAGCATTTTGTTGTTTGCCATGGACTTTTGGCTAGGCACTGTTGATAAGTTATTTTTTCCTCACGGACAAGTGCAGTGCGATGGTTGCGACGGGTCAAGAAATTGCCCCAAGTCTCTGAGTCGGGGTTAATCTTGTAGGCACGCCATGCTGCATCCCTTATCGCCAGACACTTTCGAGTCATGCTACCTAGAATAGGAGACATTGTTGCTAGACGAAGGGGCTTGGTCTCTGATGCTCTGTTGACGATGTCGCCGAGTCTATCAACGAACTCTGCCCAAACGTTTTCAAGGGGACTGTTTGAGAATTCCCAAACAGATGCGTCGGCGAGTTCTTTCGATACGTGGTAGAGTGTGATTGTGTGAGTTGGTTCCGAGTGTTCAGATGGATACTCTGCATAACACACATATTCAAAAGTTATTACTACATGGTCACTGAGACCTAATGGACTATACATCAATAACTTTTCAATCATGAGCTCTTCATTCGTGAGCACAAGGCCACATTTGGACGGTTTTTTTGCTGTCCTGAAACTAGTGGGCGTGGTGACATGATTGTACAAGGGAATATCAGCGATCAGTTCATTCAAGTCTGCTTTGAACTGTTCACTGGGTCATGCCGATACCTCCAGATTTTGTAGATTGAAGTCCCCTGAGATGACAATGTGGATATACCTAGTGCGTGTTACTCCGTTAAAGGCACGTATCAATCGGGAATTCATTTTCGGAGTGGCCCTTGGGGGGCATTAAACGATAGCTACGAGACATGTATCGTTATGTTTAAGTCGGAGACGGCACCACCGCAGGTCCCTGCGGTGGTATAGTAGGACTCCACCCGCTTTGCTGGGGCGGTCGTTTCGGATGAGCGACATCCCGACTATCTTAACCTCAGCATCATTCACCTCTTGGTGTAATCAAGTTTTGTTACTAGAAATTAGGTCCCAAGCATTCGCAGCCTGACGTAGTCGAAGTTCGGTAAGTTTATTGAGGGGCCCATGGGCGTTAGTGTACTTACATGAAAGTTTCTCAGATTCAAGCAATGGTTCGAAGGTTGTGCAATTCGTACGTGAAGTTTCGTCAACCAGTGAGTGGCCGGTGACTAATTGTTTTTTCGATGTGTACTTGCTGAAGGGTCCGAAGGGTCCGCGTTGTTAGTCCCGTGTCTAATCTTCTACATACAGTGTAAGGTGTCTGGTCAATATCATCTTCTACAGGTCTTATGGGATCATTAGATGCATTATTGGTGCATTGTTCTTACATGTATCTCGTCGCGTTTGGTTCTTTGAGTGAAATATCATCTCTAGGAGGCATATCGCTGATTGTCTTCAGCCTAATCTCAGATGGCAGCTTGCAACCGAACATGTACCAACATTTTACCATCCGTGTTACCATATGTTTTGACTGTAAGACCACCTTCAACACACTCAGACCATTTCCTTTGTTGTTCGGTGAGGTACGCAGCTGTGACATGGATTTCGCTAACACATCATCCAAGCACAATGTTACACGCACATAACATCACTGTTATTTATCATTGGTTGTTATTTCATGCTCATCACATGCTTCATTTTCAGGAACCGCGTGAAGAAGTATGATTCTGGGTGAAGTTTCCTTCCGGTAATCCTCTAAGGTGCGGTTAACTCAATAACGCTCACCTCATGAGATGTCTGGGAAGATACGGATGAAGCAGTGTTCATTTCTGAGACTATCTGTCGACGGCAGTGTTGGTCTACTTCAGTGGTGGAGTTCAGCACAGCACGAAGAAGTCTTGGCTCTCCGAAATGCTTAGAGTTGGGGTGTCGCGTAATACGCACTAGTTGTACTGGTTTCAGTACAACTCGGATTAGGTTACTAATAATGTCCCACTGGTTGAGGTCATCCAACTGCCTGCCTGTTACTGATGTCGACTTTGATTCTGGGATATTGGAGCACAGTACGCTCAGTACAGGTAGGTGTTAATTTACACCATTCGACATGTCACGGTTAGTGATTGAAGTACTCGGAGAAGTAGCGCAAGAAAGCAATGGTGCTAGTACTAGGAAAACTCCACTACCCTCTTCAGTTTCCGATCCATTTGGGGTGATGTTAAGTTTAAATGATGACTCTTCTTGGAAGGAAACGTAACCCAAGTTTCGCTAGTACCGGCTTGCTCTTTTTCTACGCACTCCGTCGGGAGATTGGAAGTAGCGTTCCGTGCAGTTACTCCGATCGAACTGGGAACCGCGTAAGTTAAATGCGAGCCACGTGTGGTATTTGAACAGCAGTTAATTTTCTGAGCTCTTGGTGTCGTGTTGCTTTTGATGTTACTAACTGTTCTTCTCGGGATAGGAGCAGCACTTACGGGGGAAGATTTGGTTAAACAGTCCGCTACGCTTACCTCAACCGTAGTGATTTTGGTGGTCACCATTTCCTCAAACTTGGCTAGTAGCTGATCGTACTTCTGAGGTAATAAGTGCACGCTTTTTCAGTGGGATAGATGTGCATTCCACGCAGAACTATAGAGATTCTGGTTAGATTACTAATTTGGCCTGGCTAGCTTTAACTCGGAGGCATATCGTATGGAAAAACTTGCAGCACTTACGGCACACAAAGCCTCCATTAACAAGTTTGCTTTATGATCCACTTAAGCCTTTAGACTGTGGCACGCTGGGCATCGCTCTTGGTGAGGAAATGTTACGAACCATTAGAATGACTCACCCTCGATGGTAGAAAGTTGTTCTGTTACTGACGTTGACAAGAAGGTCACAGTGTTCACGTAGCAGTTGTGTGCTCGCAGACAGTCTTCTCTGACGTGACTGTGGAATGTGTCAGTGTGAACGTGGGGCAGATTACCAAACAATGTTGGAGTGAACGAGTGACAGTCCGTTCGAAAGCCTTTGAAGTGGTCCATGGAGTGAAACCAAACAATGTCTTCGATGGTTGGAGTTGCGCAACTTCTGGCACTTAAATATCGGCGAAACACTGCCCGGAAGTTATAATTCAGGGTAAATGTAGGATGCACTGGATGGTACTCGAGAAAATAGTATCACAAAGTAGAGCATCTAAACTCATGACGAATAAGTATCGATACAAAGTTGTGTGGCAAAATGCCGCTGATCCACGGTGAAGAAACCAGTAGGGCACAAGTCACGGTTCACGATTTTGGACGCCTTGCAAGACTGCGCCGAACAGCCGAGGTCGTCATGGATCATCAACCGAAGGTCTCGCCCTTGTGTGCAATTGAAAGGCGCACCAATGGGATCACCTGTGTCAGGACTTACCGCAGAGATGTTTATGCAGAAATTGGAGGAGGATGTACTACCAGTCATCCATCCGAAACTGTGGGTTCGGTATGTGGACGGAACTTTTATGATAATCAGGCGCAGCCAAATAACAACTGCACAACAGCTATTGAATAACGCCATGGAAGGCATCCAATTTATAATGAAACCGGAGAAGGAAAGCCAGCTCTGTCGCTTGGACGTATTAGTAACAAGAACTGTGGAAGGCGAACTTCAAACATCGGTCTACAGAAAAGGTACACACACAGACTAAATTCTGAACTTTAACAGCAACCACCTGAAATGCCACAAAGTGAGCTGTGTGTGGACACTGTTTCGCAGAGAGCAAACACACTGCAGTATCACAGAAGCAAAAGGAAGAAAAGTACCTATTTAAATGTTTCCAACTCAACGAGTACTTACGAAGTTTCATCCGAAGGTGTCTGAATCACAACACCGCGAACATACAGCCTACGACAACAACAACCGCAGCAGCAGCAGCAGCAGCAGCAGCAACAACAACAACAACAACAACAACAACAACGGAGAGGCGGGTTTTACTGCCTTATATAAAGAACATATCGGAAATGGCAATCAGACAATCCAAACACCATCATCTCATGGTAGCATATAAACTAACTGCCACGTTGAGAAAAACTCTTTCAAAAGCAAAAGCAAAACTGCATGTGATATACAAAGTATGTTGTCGAGATTGCAAAAGGGATTATGTTGGCCAAACGGGAAGAAACCTGGTAACAAGGATACAAAAACTTAAAAGAGCATGTGTAAAGCATTATGCATCGTCGCTAGTTTCATTGCACATAGATGAAGAAGGACATAGCTTCCGTTGGAGCAAAACAGGAGTCTTGGCAAGGGGTGATAGAAGAAAAGAAAGGGGATTGCTAGAAGCTTGTTTCTCAACGAAAACTCAAGCAACATGCACGTCGACATCAATGCAATATACCAACCACTTCGAAAGAAAGAAACAATGATCATTCTGTCACGCGGTTTAAGGCAGAACAACTCGTGCGCCGACTACAGTCCTGCGGAAAGTGAGTAGAGGTCACGAGCTGCAAATCGAGACTGCCACTTTCAATAGTCACCTGCAGATCGATAACGGGTAGACGGTTCATTCAGTAAGATTGCATGCCGCATTTCACTGCACTGAGGATGCCACCAGGCATGGTGGTGAAACGTTTGCAACAAAACCGCCAAGCTCGGAGAACAAATGAACAATTGTAGTGGGTGACTGTCCGAAACAAGTTAGTATCTGCTTGTGGACACTCCGCATAATACACGAAGTCGTAACTTATGGTTACGTGATCACTCCGCCCCAGAGAGCTCTTCAGCCTTGGTCTCTCAACCATGAGCTCTTCATTCGTGCGCACTAAATCAAGCACAGATGGTTTATTTCTGTCTCTGAATTGGGTGGGTGAACTGACATGGCTGCAGACCGGGATGCTTGTATTGTACTCTTGCAGGTCGGCCTTAAACTGCTGGTTGGGGGATGCCGGAACTTTTAAATCATAAATATTGAAGTCGCCTGAGATGAGAACATGATTGTGTCGTCCTCGTAGGACCCTTCCCAAGGATAATGCCAGGCTGGAGTATATCTCTGGGTTGTGTCTCAGCCGCAGACTACACCAGAGTGAATACATGATCAGTGTTTCCGGACCGTCCGTCAGTTTGCACTGTAGGATGTTGCGGTAGTATAACAGCACACCCCCTTGCCTTTGCTGGGTCGATTGTTTCGGAGAAGCGACATACTATTTACCGCGACTTCGGCATCGATAAGTACTGACTGCAACCAGGTTGTCTCAACGAATATGAGGTCCCAGACATGTGACGCTTGACGTAGCCGCAGTCTGGTAAGTTTGTTCAGTAGACCTTGTGCATTGGTGTATTTACAGGAAATTTTCTCTGTTTTTAGCAATGAATCGTGGGATAGATGTTTTGGATAGAATGTTGTGCCGACCGGTGAAAGGTCAGCAACTAATCGTTTTTGGGTGGGGGGGGGGGGGAACTGACGAACTCATCTGTGTCCGATTCATGGATCTTACCATTACCACTTTGTTTCTCTCTTTGTATGTAATGTATGGCGATTGTTTGTCAGTTTCATTGGCCAGTTGAATAAAGTTATCCCAACACTTGTCGGTGCGTGGTCTGACTCGCGTAGCATGGGCAGAGTGAGGGCAAGCTGTCGCCACCCTTCAATATCTCCAGCGGTGTGAGACAACGATGCCCGCTGTCACCTTTCCGATTCAACTTCGCTATTGAGGAAATCATGGAAATTGCATTTACAGGACATAACTTGGAAGGTGTGGAGCTACTCCCAGGAGAACGACTTATTGACTTGGAGTATGCAGACGACATTGCTCTGATCTGTGACAGCTCCCAGACGTGCCAAGCCGCGCTTGACAGATTAGCACTGGCTGTCAGCCGCTTCGGGCTTTGCTTTGCACCATCGAAATGCAAAGCGTTCCTCCAAGATTGGCAGGGATCGCCTCCTGCGCTGACCCTTGGTGGGGATCAGCTACAAGTCATTCGGAAATTCAACTACCTGGGATGTTGTATCAGCTTCCGTGAAATTGAACTTGAGATCACGAACCGTATAGCAAAAGCTCGAGGTGCATTTGCTAAACTTCGCCACCTATGGCGGCGGCGCGATATTACTCTCGCCGTGAAGGATAGAGTGTACAATGAAGCGGTACGTTCGACCTTACTGTACGGTTGCGTAACCTAAGATCGGCGGATATGAAGAGGCTAGTTACGTTCGACCATCGGTGTCTTCGTAGTTTGGCTCACATCTGGTGGGAACATCGCGTGAGTAACGAGCGTGTTCGACGCCTTGTTTACGGCCTAGGAAAAGGGAATGAACCGCTCAGCACCGTCATTTTACTCACCAGGCTCCGATGGCTGGGCCACGTGTTGCGCATGCCAGCCCACCGACTCCCTCGACGTGCGTTGCTTGTTCACCGGGGATGTGGATGGAAGAAGAGGATGGGTGGCCAAGCGGTGACTTGGTCCAGAGGAATGAAGGCCCTAACTTCGGAGCTGGCCTCGGTTGGAGCGTCAAGGCTCCCTGGTTGGGGTGCAAAAGACGGTGAACACGTTTGGCTGGATACACTTGCGGACATGGCAAGGAGCCGACCTCAGTGGCGTTCTTGCTGTGAGTTTCTTTGTCCCTCCCCCATCGCTTTTAGCATCCCCTCCAACCACGATCTCATTCCGTAGCGTAATATAATTTTGCATAATAAATTTTCTTTTTGCCTAGTAGCCGACTGGTAGCCTTCTGCAACGATGCGCATCTGGTGCTGGTAGCTCAGCTGGCATGCAATTGTTGCATTTATTTTCCTTTTTCTTTAGGTATCGCGGCACAGTAGCTGAGGTGTTACCCACATCTAGCTGACGTGTATAAGGATGATGATGAATGGTCTGCTTAAGTCGCTGCTCTCGTGTTTTTGCTTAGCAGATGTTGCTTCGATCCGGAGCTCGGAACGAAGGCTGCCGCGCCTCGCATATCATCCCTCCACTACCATTGCTGACATTTGTCTAGATTGAAGGACCATTTGAACAATGAACAATGAATTTATACGGGTTAAGAAGCGTTGCTTTACAAGCCCCGTTGGATAGTTGGTGGGGATATCAACATAATAATTATGATGAAAAGGATAGTAAAATAGTTAACACTTTAAATACGAAAATAAGGACTTATCGTTTGCTTCGCTGCAGTCCTGCGATTCACTTAGATTCACAACACCCACAGTTAACAACAAATAATTCCAGGGTAAACTCCAGGTGTAGGATGGAGACGTAGTGTTAAGTAACAAAGTGTAAGTGGATGAGTGCATCGTCCAACCGTCTTTTAAATATTGTTAGTGTCGGTGCAGAGACGACCGATTCTGGGAGAGCATTCCACGGGTGACAGACACGGATGGAAAAGAAATTTCTGCGGCACTCCAGACGACTGTATTGTTCTGCGAGTTTTAATGAGTGGCCCCTCAGGTTTGTATTGCTGCTGAGTTGCAGTAAAGGGCGGCACACATGATGTGGGTCTCGCAGAATCAAGTATGTCATAATCAGGTCGCCTCGTAGCCTGCGATAGCTTCCACTGAACAATCCTAGTCGTCGCAGCCTCTCCTGGTAGGACAGATTGCGCATTCCAGTTACGTTCTTAGATGCGCGGCGTTGAGGCTGCTCCAGTGCATTAAGGTCGTGTTTCAGCCATGGATGCCAGGCTTGAATTGCGTATTCGACATGGGGGCGAACATACGCACTGAGCATTTGTCGAAATATGGAGCTGTTTATTTGTCCAAACGCCCGCCTCAACAGCCCAACGTGTTGGTTCCCGGTCTTCGAGGCCTTTTCGGATTGCCTGGAGCAACCCAAGTCATCTTGAACCAGGACACCCAAGTCCCGTTCGAGACTTGATTGTTGCAGTACATCCGTTCCGAGTCGGTATGAGTAGCTGCCGTGATGTC